AATGTCAAACTTGATGCATTAAAAGCTAAGTACAAAGATGTTGAATTTGTTGGATTAGTGTCTAAGTCCATAACTGTTTTGGTATGTACTTGACCCGATTATGAGCGTGGTCCTTTTGGGTTGCCTTCACCATAGCAATATGTAGGATGATTTAAGGAGAGAAAGGTTTAAATATGATTTATTAATCTATTATGATAATAATATATTAAAGGAGAAATCATATTGTTTAATTAATATTGGTCAAGAATTAATTAAGAATTAATTTTGTGGTTAAAAGAGATTAATTAAACTTAGGGGACTGAAGTTGTAATTATAAGATAATTATAATTGGGCTATGGATTACCTAATAATATATAGGTTGAACGAATTCTATGGGAAGCCCATTAGAAATCGTCCAAGGGATATGTTTAAGGAGTCCATGGGCTGCTTAGGGCCTAAGCAGTCAGATTAGGGTTTCCTAGTTGTAAACCCTAATAGCCTACATGTATCAAAAAAGGGACCCTTAAGCCCCAAAAACGTAAACAACACTTCCATTAGGGTTTCCAGCCATTTTTGGTGCCTCTTTTTCTTCTCCTCTTCATCCAAGTTGCATATGGTGTTTGTGACTCCATTAGAGGTACTACACTTGTGGTACTTGCTTTCAAGAGCTAAGGAAATTCAAGGAACTAGTTGTTATTGCTATATAACAACAAAAGGTATGTATTCTAGCTTTATATATGAATTTCGAAAATTATAGTAGCATGCCAGGTTTCTTTTTGTGTTCATAAAGTTGTATAACTAATAGTGAAAACATAGATCCAATACTAGGGTTGCATGCACACATAGGATTGTTTGTATAAGACCCATCAGAATTCAACTTTAAGAAATTTGATGTGTCAAGTGAGGTGGTTGCGTCCATGATTGAAAAGCAATTAAAATTTAAAGATAATCAAACTAAGGGGATAGGGTTTCATAGTGTTCCACCCTCCCTTCAATGACAGCTATACCCACCCCTTGAAACTAATAAGGTCGAGACACCTGCTCAATTTGGTCCACCCCTTGTACCAACTTCAGTTAAGATTGAACAATCTAGGCCAACTGAGAATATTGAGGTGAATGTTTCTAATGATTCTCATTCCTATGCAAGTAAAGAACTACTTCTAGTTCTGTTGATTTTGTTGACTGAAACCAATGTCTCCTTGAACTCTAAATTTGTTGCTTTTAACTCAGTCACTTCTAATCAATCTATTATTGATAAATACATGCCACCAAAACAAGCGAAACAGACTACTTGCTGCAAGTGTGCATGTGGTAAAAGTCACAAACAAGGCATGGCAACGCCATCAGGGGCAGGCAGAAACAACTCCTACGTGTAGAAACATACATTTTTTCATTGTGAAACACCTGGACACATTGCCAATAATTGTCCAAATCGCACATTTTCTCCTTACTATGCACATGGATGGCAAAACGCGCCAAGAGGAAAATTCTCCTAAAGAATCCCTTCGAGGTCACAATCGCGCAATGGTGACTGGAACGCGAAAAATACCAAGAATACAACTTCCAAAGACAAGAAGGGAATGTCGGCCAAGAAGCATAATTCAAGAGATGGTCCGGTTAAACAAAGATCGATTAGGTCAAAGCCATCTCAACGGCTAGTTTCAAGTTCCAAAGCAAGTGCTAAGGCATCCATCCGATCAAACAAGAAATGGGTTAAACTCGACTACAGATGGGTACCGACGGTTCATACTCCCAAATCTTCTAATGAATCTAACATTTATTCGCTTTCTGTATGTGATAAGAAGAATATGTCATGGGAGAGAGTACCTTGAACTGTTGATAAAGGTCAACCCAGTTTCAAAAATGGACTGGGTCCCAAAGACAAGTTAATCTTGCACTCTGCGCTAGAGCAGCTATGGAGGCATATCATCAGACTTCGGTTTGTTGATAGTGGCTATTCCAAGCACATGATAGGGGACATCTCTCAATTGTAAAACACTTAGAACTGTAAGTGAGGGTACGTTTCCTTTGCAGAAAAGAAAGAAATAAGAGAATCACACATTGGGTTTGTGCTTAAGTATATGAAGAATTTTTGGATCTGTTTCGAGATTGAAATATGCGTGTTGTTCTCAAATCGTCCGGATGCAACTTTAATTGGTGAATTATGGTTTGAGTTTCTTCTTGATACTCCTGAGTTTACTTCAAATGAATCATTTCAAATACAAATTTATTTTAATTTTGCTCATTTATTTTATTTCTTTCTCTATGCACAAATTTAAGGGGGCGAAATAAAAAAAATAAAATTATAAATCAAAATTACAAAAAACATGTTTTCTTTTGTAAGTATTTTACGGGAAGTGATATCAAGATTAAGTGATAACAAGCAGTCTAAACAAGTGTAAGGTACTGAATATGAATTGTTAAGATTCTGTGTTCAATGTATTGGTAGGCACGAAGGGTTCAAAAGGACTAGACTCAGTTTGAAAATCGAAAGTACTTGAGAGTATAGACTTAGATAGTCTCATTTGGACTAATAATACGAGCCTTGGGTAGATTGAGCAGTGAGATAAACATGAGAATCTGCAGGATACATTAAAATCATATGTATCTAGAGTTGTGTTTTAACATTTCCTTGATGTGTGGTCTCATGACCTTAATTTTGGTAACTGGGGGGTTCTGATAAAGTAGGTCTGTAGAAAATTATTTTATTGCTCACTTTCTGTTAGTTATATGTTGCTTCCTATACGTGATTGGAACATATCCGACCTGGAATGCAACATATGCAACCCTATTTCGTTGCACCTTCTTATCTATGCATTTCTTTCTATTTGTTAGTCTTATGATGTCTCCTTCGCATGATTAAAACAATCCGACCTGGAACACAGCATATGCATCCTTCTATCTCTCAACACCTCTATTTGTAGTAGTCACATATTGTCCCCTCTGCGTGAGTGGAAGTGATCCGACCTAGGCACAACATATGCACTTCTAAATCTATCTTCTTTCGTAATAATTCTCTATTCATCTAAAGTAAGGAATTCTTTGGAAGCACTTGATTGCTAGGGTATATTAGGAAGTGGGAAACACATTCTAGTACATCTAAAATCGAACCATTTAATAGGTTGTCTATAGATCTCGCTGCTAAATTTATGTTAACAACAATACCATTGGTCGTCGTCTACTAAATGGTTCATTTAGGAATATAGGTGCAATGTCTGGTTACTTATAATCTGTCAAATTTGTCAATATCCTTTGTGTTTAGGTGGACCACAATATCAGTGATTAACCAGAGCTAAACATGTAGGCGTCTGCTGATAAACGATATTGAATTGCTTTGCAACTTTGATCCCAAAAGTTTTAAATTTAGTCATTATTTTTGTTGTTGTTAAATTTGTACATAGTTTTAATCTATGCACAAATTGAAGGGGGAGAAATAAAAAATTTTAAAAATCAACCAAAAAAATCAGAAAACCAAAAATCCAAAAATATTTTTTATTTCTGTTTTATTTCTTTTTAAAAAAAATCAAAAATCCAAAAATTTATTCGTTTCTGTTTTATTTACCATAAAATATGAAAATTCAAAAAATATTGTGTGCTGACTTTGATTTTAGATTTGTTTTTAACTCAAAATCTCATTTGTCCTGAAAAGTGAATTCATATGTAGATGAAACTCAAGGAGACTGTATCGAGATTTTCTTAACCAATGGTGAGTCCTTGAACAACTGTGGTGAGAAGGGTTTTTATAACTCTGTGATCCACATGGACTTTTTAGTTATTTGTTACTTTTCAAGGCGCAACGAATTTTTTGAAGAACGTTCATTCGAAGGAACACGAAACGAAGATTATTCTTCAG